GGACTTGGGAGATAAATGTTATGTATTGAAATAATTATTGTCTATCTGAATTCGAAGTAAGCAATAAAGGGCACCATTGCATACCACGCGTGTTTTGAACATTTGTGCCTCGGTCGACAAGGCAAAATTGAGTGAAAATTGCCTCAACCATCGAAACTCCCCAAAGCAACGGAGTGCATAACCCTAGCACATAGTTAGAAACATGATTGGAAGTCTTGATTTGTCCTTGGACATATATGGAAACCTTGGTGTGAATTCTGACATAATTAACCTAGACTTCAATGCATCGAACCCATAAATGCACACAACAAATTATTGGACAAGTGTCACAAAGCACAAACTTCAACAAGCCTTAGAAATTAGACTTAATAATGTTTTCAACATAATTCTAAGAGTACGTCAACTCACTAAAATGACTAAAATCTCCTATAAATAAGATCACTGCACAATATAAAAAGAGATCCAACTTTTACTACAAAAACTTAGATTGAAAAATTATTCTCTCTAAAAAAGGCCTCGGACTAAAAGAGCAACTGAGGTCGGATGTCTTGAAATTTGAAACACTATCTCCGATCGAAAAGTCTTTTTTCGACCAACAAAATGTTAGAATCTCGATTTCTTTAGACCCCACCCCCACCCCTTAAAAAACATAACTTCTAAAGCAAAATCCCCAAAACGAGATAAAAACCTACCAAAATTGGGAGATAAATTATTGTTGACTTTGAAAAAAATAGTATCCATTTTTCAAGGTCAAAATCAATGACTTGAGTCCTTTTGGTTTTGTTTCAATTTTGAGTTTTGAATTCATTTTCAGTTTTCTATTTTGATGGTCTGTTTTAAGATTTCTAAAAACGCGTTTATTTTATCATTTTGAAAAATTATTTCTTAAAACAGAAAACTAAAAAACACATTTGGTTTAAAATTTTGAAAAATAATTTATGACATTTTATTCTATGAAATTTGATTATTCAATAAAAATAGGAAAAAATTACTTAATATATTATCAAGTAATATATACATTTTAAAGTTGGTAAATCTTATAATATTTTTCGTCATTACAAAAGTAAAATAAAATAAAAAATAATTTGAGTTCAAAATATAGGAAATAAAAATAAAAATTATTGACGTGGATTGAGAATATTTTTTACTATGTTTATTTAAAAATGTTTAGAATTTTTATGTAAATAATCATTAAGAGCTTAAAATATTTCTTTTTTTTTTTTATATATATAATTGTGTTTTTCTATAATTTTTTAGAAATTTTATTTTTATTTTTCAAAATTTTTATTTTTTTTAGAATTTATCAATTTTTTTTAAATTTATTTTTCTTGAATTTTATTTGTTTAGTTTAAAATTTTATATTTTATATTTTTATTTTTAGAATTTCAAATTTCAAATTTTATTTAAACATTTGTTTTTTGAATGTTT